AAATTATTCTGTCTTCTTGCAGCTTGGCCACCAAACGCTTTCCATTGCAATTCGTTTTTTGAGGGCAAAAACTCCTGAACAAAGGGCTGCTGTTGACTTGGACACTCATTATACAAATGTTAGAAATGCGTTCAATCCTATAAATAAATTCCCCAATATATTTTGTTAAATGGGCGCTGACAAGGAATTAGGTTTCTCTGTAAATTAACTCTTGGAAGATGGCTTTTAAAACCAAAAAAACTCTTACTTTTCCTCTTATTGCTCTTTACCTTGGTTGATATGACTAAGTTGAACGGGGAAAGGAAAGATTGTAGCTTGTGTTGATTGTAAGATTTCGTATTCAACTGTAACTTAAAAGAGTGATGATATTCTGCACCAAACTTAGAGCTTAATGTCTCTAAGAAGATCATATTTGATATTTAGCTTGACTCAGATTTATTCAATTTACCTTCTCAATAGCATTCTTACCAATTATTATGACCTCAATTCAGCTGACCACTTTCATGGCTATCAAAAAACTTATAAAGTGTCACCCTTATTTGTTATTCACAGGAATATCTTGACGAATATGTTGGACATAGCACAAGAAGAACAATTTTATATCAAGTAAGAATCACTGAAGCCAACAGTCTGATTCTCATCTGCATGAATCATGATAATCATGTAGAGAAAGTAAAGCTTATAGACTTCATGTCTTCCCATCTTAAATGTGTGATAGAATGATGATAGTTTTTACTTCCAGCGAAACTGCTTGAGTAACTGGGATTTATGCATGCATGCTCATGCAGTAAATAGCAATATAGAATGTATATGAAAGCCTGATCTATGTCGGTAAATTTTAAGGAATCCATCATATCCTCTTCCAAATTATGTTTTGAATTGGTATATTATCCCGGAGATGGTTTAGAATAGTGTAACTGAACATCAATGAACAATTGAGTAGCTTACTAGAAGTGATTTGGTTTTCTTCTTTTCTCTTGTTGTAGACTGTTCGAAGTCATCATTGTATGACAATTCAGATGTTAACAGAAGGATTAATATATGCTTGTAGTCTTCGCCTGTCAGTTCATTGGCTTTTCTTTTGATTTTATGGAAATTCTGTGGGAGCCTGTGGCTGTACTATTATTACATATGGTTGATTTCTTGTTATATGATAGAACCATGTTCCTTATATGATCTAAAACTTGCTTGTTGGACCTGCAGGAGTATGTAAAATGTATATCAGCAACTGGAATGCAGTCAAATTCCGGTTTTGATGGTCAAGTTAATGCATGCTGGACGCACAAAATTACACAAAAAGAGATTGAATTGATCAGATCTGCTGGATTTCTTGTGTCGATAATTCATGGCAGGTATGCAGCATAATTTTGCATTGAGGATATCCATCATTTTACTTCTATCATGTTGTATCAGCATTTGACCATTGATAATCATCCTATACTTGTACAATAATTTCCCTTTGAGAATGTATCTGTTCAAAGTAATTTGAGATTATCTGAATATGTAGCTATGACGTCATTGCTCAAATATATCATGCAAAGAGGTTGGCAGAAAAGCTGCAGCCTGTTGCTAAAATGATAGAACTTCATGGAGGGCATCTTGTAAGCCATGAGAGAACAGAAGAGGTATGTCTTCTTTTCCTCTTCTGCATATGAGCAGGCCCTTGTCATATGCAGTTTAGTTATTACATAGTGACAAATTGGAACTTCGATAATCAAGAAGTGGAAATTTGGACATTAAGTGGGACAGTATTATGGAAATAATTCTAAAATTGGATTGACAAAGAAATTATGGACAAATGTGTTATGGGTTCTGATCAACCAGATTCTGATGCCAAAAAATAATTCCTTTTGGCAAGTATACGAATGGTTTTTACTCATGGCAAGAAGACAGCCTAAGGAAGCCAAGTGTTTATTTTTGTGTTTGTACTTCTATTCTGAAAGTATGTATTGGATTTTTTATCAAGTCTGTGTTAGGTTTTATTGTTAGTATGTATATGTAATATTTGTGTCCCACTACATGTCTGCATGGCAGTTATCTGTGTAAAAGTTATCCGCATCTGCTATTCTTTAGGAGCCAGTTCCTCCTCTTGTGACAGGAGTTACATTTGCCTATTTTTTTGTAAGCATAAACAGCTCTATAAACAGCAAAAATGAATGCAGAGAATTTCAACAAAGTCGAGTAATTTCCTTTTCCCTCAAGAGATCGTTGGGTTTTCTCTAATAAACCCTACTTAGACAAAATAGAACAAAAAAGGAAGATGATTGCAGAAGCATTCTGCTGTTCCTGATCCTTTTGTTTTCAGTGCAAGGTCCTTTAACCAGATCCAAGGGAAGAGATCTTTATCACTTTGGTATTGAAGCTTGATTTGGATCCAGGGATCTGAAGGTTATGGGCTTTCCTGTCATACCATGCACTGATATTTGAAATGGGCTTTAAAATTGGTAATGTCTCTCTTGGATCTGGTTATAGGATCTTGCACTGAAAATTTCAGAACACAGAACAGCAGAATGCTTCGTCAATTGTCTGCTTTTCTGCCCTATTTTATCCTAGTAAGTTGGGCCTACTGGGCATTGTTTAGAGAGAAGACATTGACCTTTTGGAGTTGAATGAGTTGTCAAACTTAGTTGAAAGCTCTACATTTCTTTTCGCTTTTAAACATTTTTATGTTTATTAGGAAAAAAAAAGGTAACTTCTATCACAAGACTAGGAACTGCCTCCTATAGAATGGTAGAAACAAATAACTTCAACAAAAATACCTGCCATATAGGCAGATGGCAGTAAACAAAGATCATAGAGACATAATAATGATGAAACAGAACACACAGGCATAATAAAAAATACTAAAACGTTAAAAAATAAAAATCACTTCTATCGGATTAGATATCATCTTGCCATGAGTAACCTGTTTGTTGACCTTGCCAGAAGGAACCATCTTTAGCGATGGAACCAGATTTGTTTTTACAAATAGTTTTGAGTCCATTGGATTTTCATAGTCCTTGCTAATTTACTAAGCTGTCTAAGATCGACTTGCATCTAGACAAATAAAAGCAAAGTGTTCTCAATGCTATTTGAGTTTGATACTTCTGATATGTTCTTTTTTCTTTGGTTAATGTAATTGTTATTTGGCAGTATAAAAGTCTTTTACATATTAATTTTTTATGAAAAATCAGGTTAATAAAGCTCTTCTTGACTTGATAAAGGCATCAGAAATGAAGTTAGACCCACATGAGTGGACTAATTTAACCCAGAAAAGCTCTGGTAAGTCTTCTGCACATTCAATAGAGAGATTATCTTTGCCTCTGCTTCATTTGTTAGGAGGGATTTACATTAATATCTTTATCTAAATAATAGGGAAGACTTTGAGGGGTTGGCCGTTTCTTTGTCTTTGTAGTAGTTTCTGGGCATCTATAGCCATTCGTAGACTTTCATGAGAGAAGTCAAGAGTTTCTTTATATTTTGTCTACTCTTTTTCAAAATCTTCTGGAATAGGGATGTTGCTTTATTGTAGAGGGGTGTGAAAATATTTGATTTCTTTCTCAGGGAATTTGGAGAGAGGGATATCAATCGGCAAAACAGGTGCAGAGGTATCTTTCATGTTCGCCATGTTGGAGAAGCTGCATTTATGCCTATTATACCTCTTCGGCCTTTTTGTGTTAGTCTTTGGGTACGGAAGAAGGGCTTTACGCTGTCTAAAACCAGTTAGAGTTGGAGCTTCCCTCACATGAGCCCATTGATCCTTCTTAACTGGTAACTTTCCATTGTCTCCCCCTCACATTCTCTCGCATTTTAAGATTTGTATTTTTTTCTGATAAAGGGAGTTTTAACCTTTTTTCTTTCATTTTCACAGTGGGATCAAGGATTTATCATAAGCGTGCTTCTCCTTGATTTTAGCAGTTTTGCTTATTGGATGTTATCAACTAAACCTAGCAAACTACCCAAAGACCGGTACAACCAGAATTGTCCATAGGAGAGATTGAGAAAACAAATGTTGAGATAGACCACTCTGCCATCCAGGGAACAGTAAGCGAGTAAATAGCTTCCATGTTGCCTTACTCTTGTATGATGCTTAGCGTATAATCCAAACATTTACACGTGCATATTAGAAAACCAACGGAAAAGGAGAACAAGGAACAGAAAAAAAAAAATAGTATAACATGAAAATAGTGCAAAAGAATCCATAATACTTTGTATAGGACTTGTAATATGTACTGTTGAGGTTACAAAAGTTTGTCTCTAAGTTTAAGTAGTTATAATTTTTTCATGTTACAGCACGTTTTTTTATATCAGTACCAAGCTTTTCAAGGTACTGAACGAAAGTACCGGAGAGAGAACTTACACTGTTGTATACTAAAACAAACAGTATATGAGATCGATGTTTGAACTGTCGACTCTTGCAGAATCTAGATGATCATGTGTTTTGGTATCCATAAATAAAACTCTCAAACCCATATAAGATCAGGGAACACAGATGTGTGTGTGCATGCGTGTTATATATATATATATATATGTATAAGTTGTTGGATATGAAGGTAAGGAGGGAGGAGAAGGAACTTACCTGGCCCTCCCTTGTGAACCCGGAGCAGAGGTCAGTGTTTGTTTCTGGTGGATCTCTGAGAAGCAAAGCAAAGCAGAAGTTGGAAAAACTTGTGGCTGACAAGAGAGAGAGAGAGAGAGAGAGAGAGAGAGATTCCAATGTGCTGAATGATATGCCATCTGACCAATAAACTAAAGAAGGCATGGTATATAATTATTTCTGGTCATATCAATATATACCTGTGGAATATACTCATATGCCAACTTGCCCAGTTTCAATTCAACACGAATGCCAAACTTATGTATGTACATATTTGGTTTTTTTTTTTTTTTTAAATTCCACCCAATTTCTAAAGATTAATTATGTAATTTTGTATAATTTTCATGCTATTGAAGTATTTTCTGGAATTTATTTGGGATCATATAATTTTTTTTAAATTTAAATATTAAATTTTCTTATATTAATATATACATAAATAAAATGTTAATTTCAAATAAATTGAAACGGTGACGTTTCTAAAATCATATTATATGTATATTAAATTCCTAAATCTTAAATATTTGATTTTTAAATATTTTATTTACATATTTAATATATAATCTAATCAATTATAATTAATTATATAGTGGCGACGAATCAATATTCTTCCGTATAACGATAAATAAAAAAAAGTATTATTAAATATAAAATTTGACTTAAAATTATATTTCATTTTCTTATTTTGTGAAATTGAAAGGAGAAATTTAGTATATTTAAAATTTTAATAATATAATAAAACTTGGTAATATTTTAAAAAATTTGTCATTAAATTAATTAAAAATTCTCTAATATTTCCACTATTTCCCTTTCCGCCGTCGTCGCCCTCGCACCGTCTGCACAAACAAAGATCTCCGGCTTTGTCCTTTTCTTCCGTCCATCGCCGGCGTCGCCTCCACCACCGAAATCATCAACTACAAGATACCGCCGTTCGTCCTCTTCCTCCATGCCCGTCACGTTTTCCTTCACCGTTAACTGGACCGCCTAACCACCATCTATCCAGGGCTTTCTCAACCAGAACCCTAACTTTGCCTCTGTGAAGTCACGACTCACTTTCTTAGTCAAAACTGAAGCGGACGCAGTTTGGATTCAACTACTTGAATTCATATCGACACTTGGCTGCTTCCTATTGATCCACGCCATAGATTTAGTTGAGTATATTTCTGAATAGATTACTCCCGGAGACCAGGGAGCGTTGCCCTACTGTTCTGTCCTATAGAAGTGTTTTTTCGCGGTTTAGGTTGGCTGTGAAGGAGGAGAGACAGATGGCGTCTGCTATATGTCCCGGTGGTCAAGCTCAATTGGACTTCAGCTGGTACAACTCTGCTCCACCATTCTTTTTTATTTGTGTCCTGTAGAATCTTATGTTTTCTTTACTGTGCGAGAAAATCTGCTGATAGGACTTGTGTTATACTGGGTGTTGGTATTAGGATTGATATTAGAAGTTGTATGTATACTAACTATTGCTTTGAATTCTGAAAGGATTTACTTCAAATATTTTATGGGTGTTAGCTTGGTAAAAGCAGCATCCTTTATTTCCAAGTTTTGATTTTTAGCATTTTCTTTTTCCTCTGATTTTCTTTTGTGGGTGGATCGCACTTGAATACTGGGGAATTTGTTGGATTTCATCTGGGTATTTCTGTGAACATTCAAGAATGAGTTTAGTAGAGAACCTGTTGAAAATAAAAAAGAGCTGATAAAAATGTCTTGTGTTATGGTTAAAATGCTGGTATGTGAATCCTTTGGTTGGAGAGAAATTTGAAGATGTTTAAGCAATATGACATTTGCAGAGTATTGAAAATTTACAGAGTGAAATATTTCAAGTTGTTGTGAAGTGAAGATATTTACTAGTAGAATGGAGTGGAATTAGAATCGAAGTACTTTCATTCTTTCTCCCTCAAAGGCCAAAGATATTTCTCCATGGGTGGAAAATGGATGAAATAGAAATGAGATTAAAATTTTAGTTTGGTTAGCTATTAGAAGAATTTTTTTTTTCACTTGTAGTGAACTGGGAATGAATTAGGAGTATTGGGTAACTTGTTGTTAGTTATTGTATGAAAAAAAATGAAATCATGAGTATTGAGTAATTTGTTATGTTAATTATTTCAAGAATGTTTCTTCTTTTTCCCACTTATAGTGATTTGGAAGTGGATTTGGAGTCCAAAGAGAATGCTTCCATGATCTATGCAGCATTGGCTGTTGACGAGGAGGTGATTCTTGATTATTGCTTATATTTTACTTTGTTTCTCTACTAGTTTTCAAACTAGATGTTTATGGGAAGTTGTTGATAATACAGTTGCAGCCAGATAAAGTGAGAAGGCAAATGTCCGTATCTGATAGCAAGCTCTCAGTGTGAGATTCTTCTCCATCACTTTTCGTATACATGATTACATGAGTTGCAAATGTGTTAAAGCAGTAGCTTTTAGCATAAAGCTAGTTCTTTTGAGCGCTCATTTCTCAAATCCACCCAAATCTATCAGTTGTCTAATCAAACTAACTTAAGAAGATGCATTTCGAAATCATAATAACTGTTTCCCAAAAAGAGCTTAAGGTAAGTTCTTCTCCTTTGTCTATGAAACTTTCATGAAATCATTTCAGTGTACAAGTTTCTTGGTACATGAAACTTTTGGTTTCTTGATTGTAATCTTATATCCTTTTATGTCATTGCAGTCGCTTTGAAGCAGTGGAGGCAAGGTTTCTTCGGGCATCATTTTCTGCTTTTATAGATGTACTTACCCTGGCTACAAAAACAATAGAAGAATTTGGGCCGGGGATGAAATTGTGAATTTTCTATTGTGTTAGCGTTTGCTACTCTTCAATCTATTGAATTGTAATTGAATTAGACCTCTTGATGTCTGGTGAAGACCTTTTCAATTTGATTTTGTAGCTTGAAAATCTTTTGGTCATGGCATTTTTGGATTCTGTATCTTCTGTTCTACTTTGCTTTCACTATTTAGTTATTTCTCTTTATTGTAGAGAAAGCTATTGTTAAATGAAGAAGACAATCTTGATTTTGTACTGCATCAGTCTTAACCATAACTAAAATTCTCAGAATTTATAGGACACATTTTAGTGGGATTCTGGCGGTATGTTGTTCCAAAAAATGCTTGGCTAATATAAGTTGAGATGGTAATCAATTCATATCAGCTTCAAAATGAAGCTAAGGAAGTTGAATGAATCAATAAAACTTACAATGACAACAAAGTCTCTGGACCTTTCCCATATTATGCCAATATCAGCATTATATCATCACTTACATATATGGGTGTATAATAATATATTGCTCTGAGAATGGAATATAATTGCAGAGCGTGATACATTGATACTTCTGTTTGGAATATGAAAGAAGTTCAAAAGCCCAAATCAAAGAAAATAGAAAGAAAAAAAAAATTATATATCAAACAATAAACTAGAAGAGGAGGCTACCTTTCACCCTTTGCTTGGCTTCATATTTCTGTCATTCCCAATGTCTTAAAGCTCCTTTTTCTTAACTCATCCTTTTATCATATATTATATTTCCCTCAATACTCATCCAAATATGTATATAACATCTCATCCTTCTTCGACTTACGCCTGCTAAGTAATGCTTTGAGAAGTCGCTTACTTTTGCTCGGATATTGTTCAATCTCTTTGTTGTCCTTTCCAGGTTGGAGTCGCATTGAGGAGGATTTTCTTGGCTCTGAAGGATACTGCCAGAACAAAAATGCAAAAGTTCAAGCTGTAAACTCAAGTTAATAACATGGTGTGACATATAAATATCATTTTCTCATTTTTTACCTGCCGTCTTGCTGCAGATGAACTTGGTGTCGTTGGCCTACTCTTATTTGGAGTTGTTGGCCTGCTAACGACAGACCCAGATCGTAGAAGTGGAAATCGATGTGGAGATACCGATCTCTTCTCTGATTGCACAACACATGCACCATCAAGAAAGTTTCAGTATGTCAACATGAAAAAAAAGGAGAAAACAATTTTGTAGTTTCAAGCAATAAAAAACTCTGATAAACATCTGAACCTAGTTCCTTTTTCGGCACGGTAGAAGTGAATGAAAAAGTTGCAGATCGCTGTGGAGGCGGTCTCGGGGAAGGTGATGGAGAGCGCCCTTTTCTGCATGTTATGAAACTTTAACTTACATTCTAATACCTCAATCAGGTAGCACAAATTGTATGAGACTACATGATGCGACATCAATCCTTACCCAATAGGTTGAGTCGGAGTTTCTTTAATCGTGGCTCGAACAGCTTATAATAGCAACCAGGACATAAAAAGAATCGAATTAACCTACAATCTTAGCAAAACTAGAAGAATGAGTGAAAAGGTAAAGAGAAAGCATAATACCATTCCTAAACTGATACCAGTCATCTTCGTCATCTAGGCTGCATCCTATATATTTTGATTTTTGGCCATTGGTGCCATTAATTGTTTCTCCAACTGGAAATAAAATTTGCTTCACTATTATAATCTAATATTTATCTCCAAATATGTAAAATTTAAGATTAAGGAGCAGAAAAGAATAATTGCCTGGTAAAATATATCGCTTGTGATACTTTGGAGTATTTATCACCAGTGACTGTTGGGAACGGCCCTCGTGATCGATATACTCTTGACACGTCCGTAATCTCTACCATAACAAATTAGTACGGCTAAAAATCTTAGTACTCCGAGCAAATCATTCTCAACTGACATTCAAGTTTCCAGGTTTGATATTTAACTTAAGGTAAATTAATAGATAGTTGATGTTTGCAAAGCTCATAATTGCAAAACAAATGGATGAAATACTACAAGACTACCTGTTCAATGCAAGATACCCGGAGCTCGGTTCCTGAGACTTCATCAACCTTTACGTCCAACAGATCATTAACCTTATATGTAACAGAACCTAAATGGTCCACGGTATTAACAAGAGCTTTGATGGCATAATCTTTCAGTGTTTCTATTACTCTGCATAGACATGAAGGTTTCAAAAGATTTTTAAAACATAAACAAGAGATAAAGAGAAGGTTCTAGAGATGAATTAATAATCATGAGCACTGAATCAGAGCAACTAACATCTGTTTTTGATCATCATTGGTGTACGATAACTCGAAATACTCGGCTGCCGAATACAACTGTGTTCTGAGATTCTTCAAGTCCTGAAGATACCAAAAGAATACGATGTCATGACGACTTAAATGCCCGAAATCTTGTTAAAAAACTTCATTTATGCCAAGACTTCGTGTGATTGTATCAGTGTCCAAGGTCACACAAGCAAGAACTATGATCGCATAATGAAGCTAAAGAAACTAAACTCTTGGCCTCAAGACATCGCTAAGTGAATGAGTTGACTGTGAAATACTCTCAATAATATGAAGATAAGCATGGTAGCATCCAAAAGCAAATAGCTTCAGAAACATAGACTGTAAACTAACTCCGAAATAAACGCCCTAATCTGAAAATCAAGTAAGATTTACTGAAAAATAGAATAAAAAAGAACCGCATGAAATAACTTAAAAGACAGATCCTAATCCGAAACCTCGAGCAATAGAATCAAAATGACATACAGTCATCAACCCATAAAAACCTTTAAGAAATACCAATGTGAAATACTAATATCCTACCTATTATGGACTTCTGACCATCAAAAGAACTTAACAGCAAATTTTCAGAAATAACACAAGGCTGAAATGAAGATGTTATCCAACTAGCAAAGCTATGAATCGACGCAAAGCACTTAACTACGGAGTGAGGAATACCTTAAGGCTATCAGAGAAAAGCAAGCTCTGCTGCATAGCAATCTCATCATAGTTTGATGCTTCGTGAGAAACAGACATTGTAGCCGCTGCCGGAGTCATTGTGACCATGAAGGCAGAAACCAAACTGGGAATTCCTTGTTTTAAGAAAATGGAGATTGGATCACCCAATGAGATCAAAACAAGTTAGGTAAAGAGCTTGAGAAAGAATACAGAAGCAACAAAAGTAGGTCAATCCAGTATCAATAGAATACAGGAGCAACAAAAGTAGGCCAATCCAGTATCAATAATGCATCAAGTTCTCTTTTTCTTTATTCTTGTTCTTGAAGATTTAAAAAGAAAATTTCCCTTATCAGAAGCTGGAATCAGAGTTCTTGATTATGGAAACCGCAAAAAGAAGCAACAAAAGCAGCAGCAAGTGCTTGTGTCAGGGAGAAGAGGAGAGAGAGAAACAGTGCATTCAAATTGAAAACCCCATTTGGGCAACAAAGGTTTAACAGATTAAACAAAAGGAAAAAAAAGAACTCACAGACCCTTTTTTCCCAGACCCAACAACAATA